CTTAAAACTTGCCAAGTTGGAAGACCCTTGCTCTAAACCCAGTTGGAGATTTGAACAGAACAGGATAAGAGTTGTGGGGGACCTTGGAGGTCTTCTAGTCCAACCCCCTGCTAAGGCTGGTAACCTGATGCCATATCAGACAAATGCTTGTCCAAATCTCTTCTTAAAAGCTCCGAGTATCGGAGCATTCACAACCTTATGTGTTCTGCAAACTCAGCCAATTGTGGCACATTTATTAAACCATGGCTAGCTGAACAGGAGTGCAATGTGATATGTTGGAAGCAAACTTTTGTGAAGCACCTCAGAATGCAATTTTTAATACTTTAATATGTCTGGAGATTCTCAATCATCCAGGTCAGGGTTGTCCCAGAGGGGCTTTTTTCAAGAGGTGACTGAACATTCTTGTTTTTTTCTGAAGACATTTCACTTCTCACCCACGAGGTTTCCTCTGTTCTCTAATACTGCATTAGTTTTTATTATGCTTACGTTTCTCTAGGTGAGATAGCTGGCCAACAAGTCCAATAAATGGGTAAGTAATATGCTAGACTAGTCATCAAACGTTGCATCCTGGTCTGCAGGACAGGCTGGGGGAGGGGCAGGTGCACGAAGGGAATGGCAGCAGGCAACGTAAGGCTAACTAAAGAGACACACAAGCTTACTCAGCAATCACTCTTCCTGTGTTCAGGAGAGGTTTACTCCACATTCAGATTGCAAACATATAATTTTGCTGATTTGTTTTGTCTGGGTGGAATGAAGCGCAGGCCCTCATGTTTTCCACTTCTGGGGGCAAAATAATAAATCCTTTCCAGCCTATGATTCTATGTTCTAGACCAGGGGTGTCCAACCTTGGCAACTTTAAGACTTGTGGACTTCAACTCCCAGAATTCCTCAGCCAGCTTTGCTGGCTGAGGAATTCTGGGAGTTGAAGTCCACAAGTCTTAAAGTTGCCAAGATTGGACACCTCTGGTCTAGACACTGACTGACAAGGTGTCTGTGAAGATTCTCAGTCTTGGTTGTCCGAAAGGTGCTTTTTCAAGAGGCAACTGGACTGTCTGGTTTTCCTTTGAAGACGTTTCAAAGATCCGCACGTTGGGGAAATAACCACCGCTTCGTAAACGCAGGGCACAGTGTAGGAGAACAAACTCATCGGGACAAGATTCAGCAGGCCACCTGCATTTAAAAGTCAAAGGCCATTCTGTTGAAGACAGCCAAGTCCACATTTTGGGCAGAGAGACCCCTGGAGGGATCAGAGGGTCCATCTATGTCAGAACTGAACAGCCTTCTCTCAACAGAGCGCGAGAGATACTACATCATCTGTCTCCAGTTTACACCAGATGATTCTCGGGTATCTGGCGTTTTGTCTTAGGTCCAGTACGCCAGATACCCAGTTTCCTGGCTCCAATGTCCCCGCTTTTTGTAGATTGGAACCACAGCAGTTCTTTTCCAACCCAGTCCTCGTATTTCTCCAGTGCTCCAGGTTTGAAAGGTTTTGTTCAGTGGTTCGGAAATCATGTCTGTCGGCTCCTTCAGAGCCCTGGTATGTAATCCCTCTGGTTCTGGCGATTTGAACCCATCTATAGTGGCTGGGTGCTGTCTGACCATTTTCTTGCCTATTTTGACTTGCAATCATATTCTGTATCCTACGGTGTTGCTTTTATTAAATTGGATTGTTTTTTTCCTTTTGCGCGAATATAGATATGAAGAATGAATTGAGCAGTTCTGTTCTCTCCCTGCCAGTCGTCACCTCTTTGCTGTCTTTTCTGGTTAGTGGACTGATAATTTCCTTCACTTTTTTCTTGTTTCTTACATATTGAAAGAAACTTTTTCTGAGAAAGAAACGTTGGCTAGTACAGCATTTGCTCTGCAATCTTCCTGCAAAAATCCGGCAGTATCTGACCACATTTTGAAGCAGGTTGGTGCATCCAGACCCAAAGTTATTTTCTGACACTTTCTCTGGCACTCTTACATTACAAAAAACTGCAGTACAATTAGCAGACACATCAAAGGAAATGAGACATTAAAAATCTTTATTTTATAATTTTATAAAGCACCTTTACATGAAGGACAAAGTTGATTCCATATTATCTGATAATTCCTACAGCAAAACGAAACAGAACAAACCCATGTCTTGCCATATAGAAAACTAGCCTGTGCACATTGTGCTTAAACCACAAAGTCTATACAATTTTACAAAGGATTCATCGCCCTTCAAAGAGCATCCTGTAAACAATTTATTGCATATTTGTGTAAATCCTGTATGTAAAGGAAGTAAAAACAAAAGGAACACACAAGAACCAAGAGGAGGAAAAACCTGCTTGCGGTCGATCACTAAGCACAGGAAATGGCCGTGTGATGAAGCTGGCTGTGCTTGTGCCACTGTCTCCTTAAACACAGCGCAAACTTGTCTGCACAGTGACGCAAAGTTGCAAGATCTGAGACCACAAAGGCATAATCCTCATTCTTGAAATTACTATGTCGTGGCTTTCCTATAACTTTTCCTCTGGCTTTTTTTTTTTTTTTTTACAATTTACTTTGTCTCCTGAAATTCTTTATCATACACCCTTTGTTATATAATTATGGTATTTCTTAAGCAAGGAGAACAAGCTGCCTCTAGTGACCCCCACCATCCATAATTCACTAAGGCCAGTGATGATAAGGTCAAATCCAAAGCAGAAAGATGGCTGGCTGCATCGTACAAGCATTACCAATTGTCAGTTTTACAAAGATTGACAAGGGTAACAAATCAAGAGTGTGCCAAGAGTGAAAATACCACATTCCGATGACAGCCTCATATAAGGTGAATCTGTCCCATCATACATGGTGATTCCTGTTCATAGTCGGTGTAGCTTTTGCCAACCGCTGCCTCTGATCTTTTAAGGGATCTCCTGTCATCTTCCAGCTGTTTCAACCTGATGAAAACTCCTGGGGAAAATTCCTTTAGGTTTTTCTCTGATAATCAAAGACTGAAGGAGCCACAACTGAACCTTCATGCGAACAATAAGCCAGGGTTGAACATTATCCCAATGGGCCTAGTCAAAGCTCTACAAGCCTGGACACCCTAAGGATGCTTGCATGAGGAAGCCACAGAATGAGCAAGTCCAGTATTCTTAATGCATGTGAGAGTAATGACCACGAGAGCTAAGGCACTAACAAATCAACAAAGCGGTACAATCAAAAAACCTGCACACACTGCTTCAAATCCAAGTGGCCATCAACTGCAAAAATAAGGGGAGTTATCATATTGCTTGGATATAGACATAACCAGTTGTTGGGAAAACTTCCTATAAGGTCCTTTTTTGGTATCACAGCGAGGGTGAGCACCTCCAAATCTCATCTATGTTCTGTCCACAGCTCTCCAGCTATTCAACCCAGCAGCAATCCATGTTCTGTGCAGCGAATGGGATTTGCTTTCCTCTGGACAGAACTAGATAGGGGTGTGGGAGGAATGAAGAAGTGGTGAAGAGACCGGGATAATGGGATAAACTCTGCCGGAAACGGTTTCTGGGACACAATTATTTGATCCTGTCAAATCAGAAAATGTTGTTACCCTTTGTGCCCATCTTAATAAAAACATATTAAGTTACACGTCGATTCCATCCACGGTACGAAATTTTCACTCTCTGAAGTTCTGTATACATAAGATACTCACAGCTTCCCCCTTGCAATCCATATATTCCTCTCCCCAAATTCCAAGAACTACATGCGGGATTCCTGAGGTCTGAATCCTCAGTCACATCTCTCTCTCTCCCCTCCACTCATGAATTCAGGGAATTGGAGCACCAATAGTGCCTGGAAGCTACATTGGGAAGAAGCTTTTGCCTCTAGATATTTTAACTGATTCTTAAAAATAAAGAGGCTTTATAGTCGGGATCTGTGGAATTACTCCTAAAAATGAGAACTATTTTTAGCTCTGTATGAGGCGTGTCATCATAAGAAAAGATGAACCCCTGGAAGGGTGCTGAAATCAAAAGATCACAACAGCTCTTTAACAGAGAGGTTGATATTAAAATGTATAAGGGAAAGAAATGAAATGTCAGAACATGTTCATAGCTTTAAAAATACTAAAATACACCTTTTGTTCTTTCTGTACATTTTGCAACATGGAAAAGGAATTTTGAGATGTAGGGCATCTGCTTTTGATGCATGAGAACTGAGGCTGGCAAAGTTTTTAAACAGGATTGTGAACTGCTTATGAACTGAATTTTGGTCAAGATTAGCTAATCTGCTAAAGTATCATCCAGTGACATTTCAACATCTATGAAAAAAGCTGACCTCTTGAGCTGATTTTTAGGCAGGCATCTTAGCATGACTTATAAAAATAAATCATTTATAGATTCACTTTCTATCAGCTACACAGAAACAGCCAAACACAGAAAAGCTGCTCATAAGCAAGGTACGGATTAGAAGAATTTCAAGTGTGAGAATGGCATTTTGGCGAGAGATGGCGTAACTCACACAACTTCCTTTCTTCCCCTAAGTAGTCACATGGTCACATGGAAGTCCCATCACTCTGCTTAGAGAGGAAACAAGGTCATTCTACAATTCAGAATATCTACAGGGATGCATGTGAACTTCACAGAATTGCTCTGGCAGCACACTAACAAATTCCACATAGCCGTGGAAATTTTTCAAGAATGTGTCCTTAGGCAGAATTTTAGGAACAGAAGTTTAAATAACAGTTGCCAAATAGTAAGGTTTAAGAGAAAGCTAGCACTCTTTAGAAAATCGGCTGGGCAGAAGGAAAATGTAGAACAATAGAAATTACGGATATCTGATTCGTATTATGTACCGGTAATTTAAAAAGTACAGAAACATTCAACTCACTTTCTCAATCAAGAGAAAGCTGCAAAGAGAAAACAAGCAAACTAACCAAACATTTGTGGTATTTCAGACATTCTAACAAAATCAGAGAAATATTTTTTCCAAATAATATACATTACATTTCAATCAATACAAGCCTGAAAGGAAACAGTTTAGATTTCTCAAGAAAATAAACTGCATACAACAGTACGTATAAAAAAAACAAAAACCAAACAGTGTTACATGTAAAAGAGTAACAGCATCAAAATTGGGTGGGAGAATGCAGGTCAAGGCAAGGGAGACACACAGTCAAAATGGCTACGATATTTGTGCAATCAACTCAACCTGCTCGTAGTTGTGCTCGAAGGACATTCAAACGTACAGATGGATACCATCCCACCAGGAACGCCCGGGGCAAACCTCCCAAGAGGCAAAGGAGAAGCGGACAAGCACCAGGAGGTGTAACTTCTACAGCCCCCTCGGCTTCCAAGGAGGGTCACTAACACTCCTGGAAAAGTCTCGTCCCCAAGAGATTTTAAAAAGACAACAACAAAATCACTGTTGGAATTTATCCCTCAATACAGAAACCAAAACATTTTGATTTTTTTTTTTCAACAAGGAGAAAAAAATTAATCAACATAACCAACCAATCTGGAGAATACAAGCAAACAGGAAACGCTGTTGTAAAGCTACATTTTTTTTTTAAGAAGTCTCGCTTTTCCTCTTTTTAAGGAAAACGGATTCTCATTTTTCTGCAAAATTCCAGGCAACAAAATTGGGAGTCGGTCATGAATTTCTCTTAAAAGAAGAGGGGAAATCAGAAGAACACACTATATTCTGCATTAAGTATCATCATGGATCACTGTGGTAAGTAAACAAGTTTTGATTCCGTCCAATTATTGGGTGCCTGCTCTGGCGCCACCTCCAAAATATTGATCCTCTGGAATGCAATGGATTACAAAGGGGTTTTAAGGACCACTTCTTTGAAAACCGAAACCATTTTTGTTTTTTAAAATAAAAAGCATACACACCCACCCAGCAGACACCCTTGTTCCAAAAGCCCCACTTCTCCCCTCTTCAAGGCGGCAACTCCCAAGCACCGCGGACCGAGGAAAGGGGGTTTGGGTTGTCAGCTCAGCCTAATTGTGCTTTGCCCGGCCGCCCTTCAGGTAGCTCTTCCACCGCTTGACAAACTCTTTGAACACGGGGGCCTCGTCGAGGGTGCTCAGCAGCTGGAGCTGGTTGATGTGGGTGGTGTGGTAATCCCACCGGGCCAAATTGGGAGCTGTGCCCAGCATGAAGTGGCGGAGGTCGTAGATGGTTCCTGACCCCGTGTCGTAGAAGGGCAGCATGGCCTTTAAGGAGCCCATGCCCTGGTCATACAGCAGCTGCGCTTCTTTGCCCAGCCTCTCGCCGGCCGTCTCCTTTAAATCGTACAGGCCAATCAGAGAGTACATGAACCCGTTTAAAACGAAGGAGCTGGGCGAGGTTGGGTACTCCTCGTACCAGTCGTATTTGTTCATGAAGACAGCCCTCACGCCACCTTGCTCCGACGGGAGCTTGTAAGGGGCCGTTGCTCGCAGCGCCGAGCCGAGGAAGGTGCGCTCCTTCGTCAACAGGTAAGCCCTAATCAAGGTGGAGATCGCCTGTCCTTGTGCCATGGCAGAGTACCAACCTGGATCCAAAGACTTAAACCCTTCTCCTAGCTTCCGGGTCACCATGATTGGCCAGCCACCCTTTTCATCCTGGTTCCTCACCAGCCAATCACTGGCGGCGAAAAAGGCGGCCATGTGGGCAGTAGTGGAAATTGTGATGTTGTCGATGAAGCCCTTCCCCTTCACGGTCAGCCTCACCACTCTCTTGGGCATAATTTTGGTCTGTTTGACCACTTTTGTGTTAGAGAGCCCCACGCCCTTTCTTAAATCGGTGACAAGATCTCGTGTGATTGTGCTCCAACCGGTCCTGGCCCCGATGCCATAGAAAATGTCTCTGTCCTTAAACGCAATCAACTGAGAACTGGAGATGTAGTGCACGGTGAACAGCTGGTTCTTCTCAGTCGTCTCAAGAACCACTGAAACGCTCCCATTGGTTAATAACTTAAGGTCAAAAGAAATGACAAAGTCCTTTGCGTTCCCCAGCTGGAGAGACGCTCCCTCCGAGGTCTCTGAAGGGAAGCAAAGGCAGAGAGAGAGAGAGAGAGAGAGAGAGAGAGATGGTCAGGAAGCAAAAGTGTGAGGGGTTTTTTTTTCTGTGTACTGAAGGACTGACCCATGAAAGTCGTTCCCTTATCCTGAGCTCCACATCCCAGACGGCCCCTTTGAGCCAATCCTCAAGGAACCTCAATCCGGAGGGTGAAATGAACCTCTCGCCTTGTATCCCTTCAGTCTTACACATTAAACGCACGAAGGTCAGGCCAAACGTTTGGGCTTTATAAAGCTAAATCTGGCAGTCATATCCCTATTGGTAGAAATCAATTGGACATTTCCAACTCCAAGCAGCTCTCTGGCCTTTGATCACACCATCCCCCCACCCCCACTTTCCCAGCCTCATCAATGCTCGTTGCTCGCATGTTTTGTGTTCCTTCCTCAAGCCAGCCCCCGCCAAGCTCTTCTTTCCTGCCTGCCCCCACCCCCAAAGCTCTATCTGATCAGGCACGGCTCCCTCCCTTTGCTCCGCCAACCTCAACGGTATCGTGAGGGGACATTTCTGGACCAGCGAGTCATTCTTTCTACAACACTTGGCCATCCCTGGTGTTGTGGTGAATGCTGCCCAGGCCACAGTGAAATCAAACTCCAGGTGACTTCCTCAATGTTGTTATTAGTTTGGACCCAGGTACAGTGGAAACTCGGGTCGTGAACACTTCTTTTCACGACCAAATCGGGTCGCGACCGTAGCCCTGGAATGGATTACGGTCGTGACCCGAGGTTCCACTGTATGGACAATGCTCAATTGGAGACATTCGAATGGGAAGATTTTGGCAGTCCCAGGTGTGTTTTTGTGCACGCGCACCAATCTTATGAGAGTTCAACCATTTGGGAACAGGGGTGTGTGTGGGTGGGAAGCCATGTGCAGGTACATTACAGTCTAGAACTGGGTACATTCCTCTTGTCTTCCGGGCCTGCAGAATGAGAGCCATGAACCAGGATTGCCGAATTTTACACAAAGGAAACGTGCTCTGTCCCCTGGCCTTTACTTCGACTCACCGGGAACGACAAACTGCTTGACATTCGTGAATCTGGATTTGTCCAGCAACGTGGTGACAAAACAGCCTTTGGGGACTGTCCATTTGCCTGGCGGGCTGCCCTGTTCCCTCTCTTCCGCCGTTTCATACACCTCAACATGGGGAGGTTTCTCAGTCAGATTTTTGCTGTAATGGCTGAGCCCGTATTGCGCAATCTGGATGGGGTAAAAGTAGCCTTGAGGCCCCCACTGCGTGGAAAGCGGCACACCTGAAACATAAGAGAACAGGCTGTACATCTCGGTGCCAAACTCCAGGGTGGCGTTTTCCTCCTGAAAGGTCCCAGCGTTCCCTCAAGCTGGTCATTTTTCTCCTGGAGTTTGCCAAGGTGGCTGTTTGGGGACGCTTGAGCTGCTTCTGTTATTTCAAAACAGGCAAATTTCTCCTGCTTTTTTTACACCCTCGTCTGACTATCATTCCTGGAGAACGTTAAAACCTTGCAGGTCCTGCACCAGTTGGTCCAATAAAGGTACCTCTCAATATGAAATTTTAAAGGTTTGAGATAACCAGGCCAAAGTGGAATTTCTTGTATTTAAGCCTTGACAGATGTGCAGCCCATTTCTATTCGACCATGCAGATATCAAGGGATACTATCCAAGGCAGCTGGGAATGGCTTAAGCCAGTATTCCTCAACCTTGGCAACTTTAAGTCATGCGGACTTCAACTCCAGAATTCTGGACCATTACTGGCTTTTAAAAATTGGATTGTTCTACAGAGCCAATGGAGGATAAAAACTTTTGCTTGATTTTTGTAACGTTTAATTTTACATCATGGATGTCTTAATGTAAATTTATTGTGTTCTCGAAGGTCACATTCACTGTGGAACGAACACAATGTAATTAACATGAACCTCAACTCGTTCATTAAATTACTTATTAAAATCCATCATGGTTTTGGAAATAAAGGACAAAGCTCCTTGGAGGTGATTTCTTTCGGCTTCCAATACCGAAAGCAACCCCTAGTTCTAAAGTTTTAATACAAGCATTGAATCAAAATTTAGCTATCGATATTTACATGGATATTCGTCTGTACATTTTTTGAACAAAAATATCAAACCTTCAACGCCGCTGATGCACTTCACTCTGTCCCGGACTTCCACGTTATAGCCCTCAAACGACATAAAGACGCCATCTGGATGGTAGGGGGCTCTCTGGGTGTACACTTTGGAGTAACTATGGGAGAACTCAAACCGGTCGTAGCCATCATACTGGGCAATTTTCCCATAGACCTCAAAGTACTTCTCCACCCATGAGAAAGGCAGAAAGACCTCATTGCCTTCCCTTCGGCCTTTAATAGTGTGCTCATCGTTGATTAGACAGTCAATGTCTTCGTATTTCAGCCCCAAGACTTTGTTCCCATGGAAGCCCCCGACAATGGGGGGAGCCTTCTGCTGCTCCTGGGGCGATGCTTCCTCACTCTGCGGCTTAGCTGCTCTGTTCACACACTGGCTGCTCTCCGATGCAGCCACTCGCTTCTCGGTGCCATCCGCTTTCACGCTGCCGCTCGAGTCATGCAGGAGAGGTGCTGTTTTTCCACTGGTGCACCGATTCCACAGCAGGACGGTGACCAAGGAGAAGAAAAGGCAGATGACAATCAAAGTCTTATAGTTCACCCGAGCCGCCAAGCAACGCATATTCATACCATACCTAAAACAAAAATTCAATTCCATTAAAAGTCGAAGAGTGAAAGGGCAGATTGGGTACATAGAGCAATATGCAAACTGAACAGTTCCAAGCCCCAGCTGACGGTTTTAGGGATCCCTCTTGGGGAAAGAGCACATGCACTGTTTTCCACCAGCCGCTTCAGGGCAGAGAGAACAGCAATACTATTTTATATTGTTTCTCATAGTAGGATCTTGCAGGGATGGGTGAAATCTAAACTACTTAAGAATCCATGAAAAATAATATAAAAATAACGTACAGTGGAGAAAAGGAGGAATAAAAACGATGAGGACTAGGTCCCCAAAGTAGATAAAGGAAACTTCTTCCAAAGACATCTACTGGCTTCAGAGATTTCAGTGAGAACACATTCCAGGACTGCTTGTGGGCAGCTGGTTGCAGAATGGCCCTTTTTTGCACCAGCTCCATGTCCTCTAGGGGCCCAAGCACTTGGAAAGAAGGTCAGAGTAACCTAAACGTGGAATTATTAATATGCAAATAATTTCCCTGACTATTGGTGCAAATCACAGGTATTGACAGTGGAGAATCACTAGGGACTCTAATGATAGGATGACTCCATATCTGAGGGAAACTACCCTTTAGAAAGTCTACACACCCCTGTTTAAAATGCCAGGTTTTGAGATGTAAGAAAATCAGACCCAGGTAAATCACTTCAGAATCTTTTTCCACCGTTAATATCACATAGAAGTTGTTTTTTTATTGTAATTTTCCCCCTTAAAAGATTGGTTTGCTTTTCAATTCAATTGTCCAGCTTATGTTATATTAAAGATGGAATTCTTAAGTAATTGATCTGATCCTTTTTACATCTCAAAAACCTGGCATTTTAACAGGGGTGTGTAGACTTTCTATATCCATTGTGCAGAGAATTTCTCTGGTGAAAAAAATGGTGAGGAGGAAATCATGACAAACACACAGAGTTGGAGAAGCTATTCTAGTTTTTCTATTCCTTTTTTACACATTGGCCACAAGTGGGAACAATAACTAATTTTAACAGAATTTTTAAAGAAGCTCAGGGTTATTTTTTCCATTCATTTTTCCATTATTTTTCCTCCCCCTTTTTGTCCCCTTTCCTCTCAATTTCTTGGCCTACTCTTTAGGGACTTATACAGTTTTTGAGACTAATTTTTTCTCAGAAGGTTGCAAAAATTAAGCCCTTGCCACAAAAGTAAAACTGCTGATTGCCTTGAATTTACTGAGAACATTTACATGAAGAAGAATCAATTTATGAGCTGAATCTTGGTGTACTGAACACTGTGCCTCAAAAAAGCTTGCCTGTGGGAAGTCAGGTTATGTGCGATAAGGCAGGAGGAGGAAGAGGAGGTCAACACCCCACTCCCAATCTATCCTAGGGGCAGCCCTAAACAGGCTTTGTGGGACAAGGGACAGGCACACCACCTCTCCCCTTTTGTTACTCTGAGTAAAGTTTGGAACTCGAATTTAAAAAAAGAGAGAGAGAGAGAGAAGCTTGGACTTAACCTTCTTCCCATTTCTTTCAAGGAATGGAAAATTAACTTCATTACAGCTAATGCCTGTAAATCCTACTTTTTTTTCAAACAGTAATTTTTATAGAATTTTTAATTCAATTTTTTTTTCAAAAAATCATTTACAATTTTTAAAATTATTTTTAAATAAGTAAACAATACTTATAATATTTTCATTCAGCTTGAAAAAACAGATTTAATTTACCAAAAAAAAATTCAGCATTTTTAATTTTTGAAATTTTTAAAAAGGTTTTTTTTTTCATTTTTAAACAAAAATATTTTTAAAATTAAAAAAAAAAGAACAAAGGGAAGCAAAGGATACAGTATTAATTTCAACATTAGCCGCAAGAGGGAGCAAAAGACTAACCATTCTTGAATTTACTGGGAGCATTACATGGACAATAACCAAGTTATACAGACCATATTTTTTCAAAGTCTGTGCCATGTTTGTATTCCTGCCCAGGAAGAGTTTAAATTATACCTGCATCCAGTGCAGTTAATCAGACTGCTAAAAGAGAAATGACAGAGTCTAAAAGCAGCCCTTGAGCACAAAGAAGATGAAAATGAACCTCAAGAGTAAGACTGCTAGTCACATGTTACTTGGAAGGAAAAAAGTGAGCAAACGGTTCCCACAACCCCTGGAGCTGAACCATCGTTTTCAAAATCTCCCCCTGAAATGAAACACGCCAACATCAGAAGGGTCTTCTTCCTGTGTTCCGGTATCCCAGACTTCCCCACTCAGATCCCCTCTCGGAGGGAGATGGGCAGCTAAGAAAAATGAATGAATGACATTCTCACTTCTTAGAGGAACAGAAACAGCAACCCGTAGACCTGATAATCTAGTGAGGAAGGTCAACGGGTAAGACGAGAGATTTGCCAGATGTTTACTAAAATAATCAAGCCATCAAGCTGATTATTATCCCTTCCTCCTGTTCCATGTTGGGATGAACAATACAAAAAAGAGCCTGGACATGATACCAAGGACTGAGCAACTAGGCATCAAAAGCAAACCAATACGAGGCACAGGGAGTCTTCAATACTGCCGGCTATAGGGCAACACCCTACAGGGCAAAGGACGATTGTAAACTGCTGGCTCAAGGGATGGTGCCAGCGAGAGAAGTCTGGGTTTCTAGCCCATAATTTACGTGACCTACAAGAAGGGCTTCAGGCAAGAGATGGGCTGGGAAGAATGTGCTTAAAACCTCATTTATTCAGACATATAATTGCTATAGTTTTGAGCATGTGGCAACAGGTCAAATGCTTCAATGGATGTTATAACAGAATTTAAAATAATGGGTGGCTTTATGTGAAGGAGAATTTCTTTTTACATGAAATTAATATTGCATACATGTTATGCTATGCTGTAAGGCTGAATGGTATTTTCCTGGAACTTGGGTCAAATACAAATAAAAAATATGCACTTTTGACAAGGAATTTCAAAAGATCAAAATCAGGCATGGATAATAGGGCACCCACACGCTTTTTTATAAGAAATTGGTGCCTTGACTGAATTACTGGGAAAACGATGCTCCAAAAGTAACATGGGTCCATAGAATTGTCACGTGGTATAGGGCAGGGGTCTCCAACCGTGGCAACTTTAAATCTGGCAGACTTCAACCCGTGATCTATGCTGTGAAAGATAGTGAGCCGTCAATGTCCATGTTTCGTGCAGAAAGAATAACATTTGTGCGAAACAGAGATGCCACAGCTCCCTCTTAATTTTCCTCCTATACCAAATAACATCAAGCTGGCATTCCTGACAATTCCAGAGGACAAACATTGTTTATGCTAGGAAAAATATCTTACCCTAACCTTGGGGGAGTAATTGGACAGAATCAACCTAGTAAAATGGAAATACTGTATCATTCTCAAAGGATCTATGTGATCATAAAAAGAACTCAGGGATAACTATTTTCCACAAATTACTGCCAAGCACTCCTAGACCAGCTCTGAATGTTTCTGGGCCATCAGCCAGCTGCTAACCACTATAGGCCTTTGCAATTTACGTTCTACAAAT